AGAGAGAGAGAGCAGGAACACAAGCAGGGGGAGTGGGAGAGGGAGAAGCAGGCTTCCCGCCGAGCAGGGAGCCCGATGTGGGACTCGATCCCAGGACTCTGGGATCATGACCCAAGCCGAAGGCAGACGCTCAACGACTGAGCCACCCAGGCGCCCTCCCCCCCTCTTTTTTTTATAGAAGCTTCCTCGTTTTCTGTTTGTCCAGTGTTTCCTTGTAATTAAGTTGAGGTTACACAGTCTGGGCCAGAAAACTGCATAGGTGATGTGTTCTCAGGTTATGAAATCTGAAGACGCAATACATTTTTAATTAAATGCAGAGTAAAGGGAATCAACAAATGCTATAGGAATCGTTGAAAGGAGATAAATAGATTGGAACGGTCAGGAAGACATCACAGTTTACCAATTAGATAGATTTAGTTTACTGATTTGGTAGAAAGCATGTTTCTAAATAAAATTCACCACTTTTCCTTCTGTGTCAAATTTTGCATTAGGTAATGCAATATGTATTACTGTCTTCTGCCAGTTTTTATTAAGCTTACTCCTGTATTAAACAAATCAAGAGGAAATTATTTGTTTTTAAATTTAATGAAATTGTCTTTCAAATGGTAATTAAGGATCTGCTGATTATTATGCAAGGTTCCCCAAGTGATTTGGATCAATATAAAAAGACAGTGAACTTTAATGTATGAGAACAAGTCTTTATTCCCTTCCTGGTTTCATCAACCATTAGAGTCAGCCTGACGGTTTGTACTCCTGGCTTTGCCACTATTCTAGAGCCTTTTAACACTCCTCCTTGAGCTATAGAAAGCTGTTCTTGCCAGTAATTTCTGTAGATTGTGTAAATGGTAGTAATGTTGATGGGTCTCTCCTTGATGCCATTTTTCCCTTCCAGGCTATCTTATAAAGAACGTCCAGACTTTAGATAGGGAGGTAACAAGCTACTTTGCAGAGTACAATTAGGGCCAATTTAATTTTAAGTAAGTTTCTTGGGTTTATTATTATTTTCTTTCCAAGTTATAGGAAACACTGTGGTTAACACATTTGGGACCTAGTCATTGGTTAACAGGTAGAAGAGCCAGAGGTATATTTGAGGCCATTATTGTAAGATGATTTTTTTTCTTCTCATATGCTTTTAAAAAATAATTCCTTGGCCTTTATGCACTTTGTGTTCGCAGTTTAAAGAAAACAGGTCTGAAACAAGGTCTTACCCCCAGCTGCTTCTGAACACAGTGACCACCAGATCTCCAAACATCAAGTCCACCTTCGTTCGCCAACCTGTCTGACATGTCGGGACCCGTGCCAAGCAGGGCCAGAGTTTACACAGATGTTAATACACACAGACCCCGAGAGTACTGGGATTATGAGTCACACGTGGTGGAGTGGGGGTAATTGTTTCCTTTTACTTCACTGTCCTCACTCAAAGGCTGACTCTTGTGGATTTGTTGAGTAATTTGTATCAGGAATCCTTCCTGACTGTGCATTTATAAACTTCAAGATTGAAACCTGATTTGTGTTTACTTCTGCAGTGGAGAAGCAAGGTATTGCTTTGGCAAATTAAGAGTTTTGATGGGTTTACCATGTAAAAATTATTTCCGTCTCTTACTCTTTCCTTGGACTTATATATTCTGGATAAAAGGCTGGTAACAAAGAGTTAGCTCTCAGCTTATCTCAGCTAAGGGCTTCACAGTTAGGTGAGAATTAATACTTGAGAGACTTTAAAAACACCAAACTCTTACATAAAATATTTTTGCGGTCAGAGAATGTTGTCCCATGATGATACTGAAGGATGAAACAGATCTCCACAAAGACATCCTCTGTATGATAGAAGCAAAATTAAACCCTTGTCAGCATTTGCCCTTATCATGAGGCTAGCCATTTGTAACACGGAATTCAACCCAAATTCCATTTTGAACAGTTGCAGTTTACCTTAACAGCTGTGTTTGCCCCTCATTCTCTGTGCAGTCTCTTTCGGATGTTTGCATCTGTTGTCCCAACGTGTATGCAGTTAATTGATCAGGTCATACTTATTGTGATAAAAGCCTTTTGACATGAAATACAAAGAAAGCATTTGAAAACACATAAAGCTACAGCTCCCATATGCTATATTTTATGTCTGTTCACATGTACATAACCTGCAAGTGGTTAAAGGTAGTCTCCCAAAATTGGCATAAGGATGTATTGTCAGCCTGATGGGACCAGGATTTTTAACAGTAAGTGCATTGCCTCTGCACAGAGAGGCACAGTGTGCTTCAAAGATACCATCAAGAACCAGTGGTATCAGTAAATGTCATAATTGATATTCTAACAATTCCCCTCATATCACAGGCTTTGGACTCTAGGAATACCTGTGTTTTGCTAAGGAAATTTCAACCACTCTCTTCAAATTGAGTGCTTTGCACTTAGTTGTGCTTAAATAACACTCAACAACCCTTTTGAGTTTTTGGCATGGTGCTGTTTGCTTGCTTGCATTTGTTATCTGTGCCCACCCCACAGAATTCAACCAGAACTAAGAGCTTCCTTCCCCTTGACCTGCCTTAATACATTGTCCATTGTCCTTAGTACCTTTTGCCTTATCTGTTCATTCACTTTCTTTTTAGCTGCTTGAGGAAAATGGATGGCTAATTTGTTATTTGGATTTTCAGTGTCTCCAGCAGGAGTAAATAGAATTTAGACCTTATGAAAGGGACCATGTTTGTCATTCTTTAAAGCAAAGTCATCTAAGTTGTATTCAGAGGCAGGGAGAAAATGTTGACATTTCCCTCATTTTTTACCTCTGATGATGCTAGTAATCCTGGGATATGGGTAAAAGTGAGGAAGGGACACCTTATTATGGTTCATGATCTGTGGTGTGATTTGCAAACTCCACTACATGGACTGTTCTCAGGGTTTGCCTTGGAGCGCAAGTGGGAGGTCAAGCCTATATGTTGAAAGCCACTTATCTGCAAAAAGGCCCATTAAAAATGAGCTGCTTCCAAAGTGCGCCTGAATTGAAATATTCTTGTAATACGTATTGACTTTCTGCTGGGCCAGGCATAAGAGGACAGGAATATATAAAAATTATTCTCTAAGGGAAAGCTGTTTGTTATTGGACACAAACACAACAAACCCTAATAAAAGCTAGGTATGTATGGTATGCCAGTAGAAATATAAACAATTTGGTATTTGAAAGAATAATTGAAAGGCTTACATTTTTGTAATTCTAGGACTTGGAACACACATTTTTATTGAATGGCCCAATTTTTAAAGTACAGAGATTATTTGAAGTACCTTTCATTTCTTTTACTCCTCCTGGTAGTAGTTTTTTAAAGTTAATTAGTGCCCTATAGTTTGAATTTTTAAAATCATTGTGACTTTGAGTCTTTCTGTTTACAGTAATCAAGATGACTACCAGCTGGTTCGAAAATTAGGCCGGGGTAAATACAGTGAAGTATTTGAAGCTATCAACATCACAAATAATGAAAAAGTTGTTGTTAAAATTCTCAAGGTGAGTATAAGAAGAGAGAGACTATAATTTCAGAGATATTTGGAATTTAGATTTTTTTAAGTAATAGTACTTAATTTTTTTAAAATACCTTTTTAAAAGTAGCATTTGAAAGGGTTTTTGGAGTGCTTTAACACCTTTATTATATCCTATGAAATTGTTGGAAGAGGTTCTCTTTATTTGACAGATCAGGAAACTGAAGCAAGATAAGTGATTTGACTCAAGTCATACAGCTAGATTTTGATAGAGGGAGGGAGTAAGGGTTCAATCTTCTCTCTTCCAGGTCTTGCCTAATACTGATTTCCTAGATTTTTAGTTACAGTCCATCCTTTTGTTTTCAAGAAGTTGTTACTTCTTCTGTGTAAGGATAAGGAGTCAGAAATGCAGGCCTTTAAATAGCAGGCAGATACCATCAATGCAGCTAGTCTGATGTACGTGCCCATATTGGAGGATGTGAGTGATGGGTAGACTGCAGCATGTGCTCCAGCGCCGGCTGATAATTGCTTCGCAGTAATGAAGTCTAGTGTTACTGGATACTCTTTGCAAAAAGAAAGTAGAAATTTATATTTATATATAAATTACCCTGATTGTTAAATGTTGGCTCAGGAGTTTTTAAAAATGCTCTACAGGCCAGGTTTGGCCAGTAGGCTACCAGTATGCAACTCCTAAGTTAATTTTAACTGTACTGTGCAATATCAGATGCCAGGAACTTAGCATATAGTTCCTTGCCGTGGGAACTTTTATATATTTGACACTGAGAAGCAGAGGTTCCCAGACGTCCTCAATTGATAGCCACCCATATTGTTTCAGTAAGCTTTAAGTAGCTAAGTCCAAATAACAAAGTGTTTATTTTAGCTTGGGTGCCATTTAAAATGCTATATACATAGATTGAAAGAAAGATGTCATTTTATTCTTATATAACCATAATTGATTAGTATTGGGATATGTACATACACCTGTCAACCACTGCACAGTTTCTCAAATGTTGGAATAAGTTGGACACCAGTAGCTTCATGTCCTTTTCAACATTGATTTCTGTACAGTATTTGCTTTTTATCACAGCAGCAGCTAAAAACCCAGCTTCACAAAAATGCGTCATCAAAAGGGATGTAGTGCAATCTAATGTTGAAACTATGAACGATCTCAGGCTGGTAGTATACTCTGTATCTGGCAGATACTGGGTATTGATCGATTTTTCCCTCAAAAATTAAAAATTTCACAGAGCCCCCATGAATTTGCTATGGTGCCATGGCACACCTTATGGGAAACAGAAAGTTTAAGTATTTCTATCTGTCTTACACACGTAGAAAGAGAAGTAGGCTGGATATCAGAACATGTGGATTCTAATCCATACTCTAAAAGTAATTAACCTTGGTAGTCCTTTTAACTATCTAAGGTGTTTGCTCATCTGTGCAAATGAGATAATCTTGCTTTCCCTGTCTTTCTCAGAGTTGATATGAGGATCAAATAAAAAATTATATATAGAAATAACACTTTGGAGGGGCACCTGGGTGGCTCAGTTGGTTAAGCGACTGCCTTCGGCTCAGGTCATGATCCTGGAGTCACGGGATCGAGTCCCGCATCGGGCTCCCTGCTCGG